CTGCTCCTCGCTGCTCCTCGCTGCTCCTCGCTGCTCCTCCCTGCTCCTCCCTGCTCCTCGCTGCAGCAGGAGGTGAACGTACCGGCTTCACGGCCCGCCGGAGCCCACAACACCCGTTACCGTCCCGGCTGCTCCTCGTCTCACGGCCCGACGACGAGCAGGCGACAGAACAGGCTTTTAAATAATCATTTTAATTAAATAATCATTTTAATTAAATAATCATTTTAATTAAATAATCAGTTTAAAGATATTCCTAAAATTCAATCAGAAGTTGAGAGTTTATAAAACACAAAAACAAACATTTTCTCTGTAATCTGCAGTTTTTACAGTAAAATGCTTGAACTCTGCTACAAGACCAGTGCTGCTACATTTATTACTTTTTATTTGACTACATTTTATTTTTATGAACCAATAAATGTAGATTAGTCCAAACAAACAGGTTTATTTTAAAATGTGTTTTTTTAAGCATCATAATGAAACAAAATCATCGGTTAATTATGAAAAAACAACAAAAATGTACATGTCAATTTAAATAGGTTCAGAAACAGAGGATTAGGAAAACACAAAATATTATATAAAATATAATATATATAACATTCTGGACTCAAATCAAATTGAGACGATTTAATTCAGCCAGATTCACCGTTAAAGCCAAACAAACTGAAATCCTCAGCGACTACCACACCACATGAAAACATGTAAAAGCTGCCATTTTTAACGGTGGCAGCCATGTTGAATGACATCAGGCTGATCAGCTGCAGGCGCTCCTGTAAAGTTGTTAAAATCCGTCCCGTGGTTCAGAAAAGTGAAACGAGCCGGATCGAGAACGATGACCTTTAGTTTTGCTGTCGTTGAGAGTTGCGTTAAAAGCAGCATCACGTGATCTTACACCTTTAAATCCAACTTTTTTTAGCAGGTGTTCATATAATCCCCATAAGTTCCTTTAAAACTGATAACTGTTCTCTGGCGGCTGCCATAGCGACGGGAAATCCCTTTGTATAATGCTTGGCATCGTTACGAAGCTTTCCTGTTATTATTATTATTATATGTCCGTCGAAAGACTTGATACACGTACTGTTGCATCTTCTCTAGATGAGTACCATGTTTGCTTTTCATCACCCAAAATCCAAGGTCAAGGTCACAAATCAAGGTCAACATCAAAACAAGATCTTTGCTTGTCCGGGCCATAACTTCTGCTGCGCGCAAGAAAATTTAATGAAACTTGAAACAAATTTGTATCAACACTAGACAGAGAGCCATTCTATCTTTTCATCACCGCTGCTTCAAGGTCATAAATCAAGGTCAAAGGCTATACAAGGTCTTTGCTTGCTTGCTTTACATATTTTGCTAACAGGCCAACGGGGTCGGCTCTGACAGGTAATGTTGAGCAAAGATCAGCACTTTGAGTATGTGTGGAAGATGACTCTCAGCTACTACCACACCAAATCAAAGCTCAACTTTAAAACCGACTGAGTTACGCAGTGGTGGCCATCTTGAATCGACAAACGAACACACTGGCAACAATATTATTGGTCTTTTTTCTTTGACCGCGGATCTGAAATGTTGACACTCACCCAATTAAATCCAGTCGAATTCAGTAAATTATAGTTTATTTGTAAAACATGTCTGAAACTGATCAAATACAAAGATAAAACAAAACAGTTGCGGCACAAAAATCAAAAATTGTGAATTTGTGGCTCGGAGCTCTTCAGGGGCCGTTCACTCACGAAGTCTGACCCGACCCTCCGAACGTTTAAAGGTTCACTAAACTCCGGCGACAAACGGAGAAGCTCCGGGAGTTTAACGTTTTACGGCCAGATTGTCAAACAATCAAAAAGCTTCAGACTGAGATTATTGTGCTTGAATCTGGACCCATGGAGTTCTGCAGACGGAGCAACAGTCACGGTTTAGATTAAATCTAGAACCCCCGGCTCAGTTGGGTCAGAACAGCTTCATATATTTTAGTAAGTCCTCCTAGTGAGTACCACTACCTTTAGCTAGATGTTTAGCTAGCATTTTACTACCTTTACCTGCTTTTTGATACTTTGAGTGTTGAGCCTGTGAATACTTTTAGCTCCTTGCTAGCCTTTTAAACTTTTAGCTATAGCTTTTGAACTTCTCTTGCCTTTTGCTACTTTTAGATTTTTGCCAGACTCTGATATTTTAGCTAATGTTTCAGTAGTTTTAACTTTTACCTTGCCTTTTCCAGCTGTGTACCCATCATTTTGATACCTTTAGGTATATTTAGCTTTTTTCTACTTTTAGCTAGTCTTTCGATCCATTTAGCTAAGTATGCAATTTTTAGAAAACTTTACTGACTTTTAGCATTTTGCTGTCCTCTTGCTACTCTTAGCTAGCAATCTACAAGTTTTAGTAGCTTTCTGATATTTTTAGTTTAGCCTTTCTTTCCTTACATTAAGCTTCTAATACTTGTAGATATTGTAGCTTTTTATTTTTAGCTATCATTTTAGTATTTTTAAGTTTTAGTAAGCCTTTTTCTATTTTCAGATTTTGTCATAGCCTTTTGGCACTTAGCTTTCAGCAAGTAGTTTATCTATGATCTAGGTATATTTAAATGTACCCAGCTGTTTGCTACGTTTAGCTTCTAGCTAGCCTTTTAATATTCTTTACAAACCTTTTTCTACTTTTTTTTTAGCTTTAAAACACCCGTCGCTTTTAGCTTTGCTGCCTTTGACGTTTAGCTAGCATTTAGCTTATTTTTACCATTGAGCTAGTGTTTGGCATCTTTTAGCTTTGAAAAGTCTGCCCCATTTACAAAGCAAGTCATTCAGCTCTTAGCGTTCAATCAGAAAATGTAGTTTCTGCGGTAAAACGACTAAAAACTTTTAAACATTTTACACAAAGCTAAAATATTCCTGTTCTGAGCGGAGTCCCCTGCATCAGGCGTGTTTCTGTTTCCTGCAAGTTTTTAAAAGAAGAGGCGGGACCTCATTCGAAGCCCAACCCCTTTTCGTCGAAAGGGGCGGGACTTTGTTCAAAGCCCCGCCCACCGGGACGCACCGGAGCAGCGGTTTGGAGCTCAGCCGGTAATCAAATCAAACGCTCCTCTGCAGCCGCGGCTCAACTTTCCGCTCTTTGTTCGGGTCTTTCTGGGTCTGACCCGGTTCGCTCGGCTCGGCTCGGTTCGCTCAGAAACTTTCAGTGGGTCCTAAAGTTCTAGGAGCGGGTCCAGCCGGAGGAGGGCTCGGTAAAGGTCGCAGGGTTCTGGATCCTCGGGGTTACATAAGAACCCATAAATCCTGAATGAGCTCCGGGACCTGATCCGGACTCTGCGGGACTCGGAGCGGGACGCACATGGACGGACGGGCACGCGGTCCTGATCTGGTTCTGACTGAGTGAAAAATGAAACTTTTGGACCGGCTGGTCCTCCTCCGGACCCGGGTTTGGAAACCACACGAGAATGAGCCGAACCGGTCCTAAATAACCCCGAACCCGCGTGGATCTACAAGATACCGAAGAACCGCTCCGGAGCCGGGGAGTTCTGTTCATGCGCCTCGGTTCTGGTCCGGCTCGCGGCTGAAGACGAGGGACCGGGATGTGGAGCGGGACGCAGCGGATGGACCGGACCGGACTGCTGCAGCTGCTGCTCGGGCTGCTGCTCCGAACCTGCTCCGGGACCCCGGAGGACCGCCTCATGTCGGACCGGTACGCGGTCTACTGGAACAGCTCCAACCCCAGGTAGGACCCGAACCGGGCCACGGCCACCCCAGAACCAGCCCTGCGCCTTTACGCGCTCCGGGTTGGCTCAGGGAGACCTGA